TATAAACTCTTATTATTCAATTGGAAACCACACAGAAAGGAGGTTCCAATCAGATTATAAATTGTTAACATGATTACATTAGTCATCTTATTCGATTAATGCTAATACTTGTAAATATTCTTACATATAATAGTCACGTGAAAGTCTATTATTACTATCTAACTTTGGATTGATATTGTCCAACGGTTACTGTTTGAACAGTTGATGTCTAACTATTGTTGTTTGAATAGTTGTTGTTGTTGTCCAACTGCTGTTGTTTGAACTGTTACTGTCCAACAATTGCAGTTTGAATAGTTGTTGTCCAACTGTTGCTGTTTAAACTGTTACTATCCAATGGTTGCTATCTAAACATTTATCAAATTTTTAACTATATCTAGAGTTCTAAAACTCCATTTTAAGTGAGATTGATCTCGTTGGAAAGCTAAGATACAAGGCTACAAGTTCTCTAACAGTTGATGTCCAACTATTGTTGTTTGAATAGTTGTTGTTGTTGTCCAACTGCTGTTGTTTGAACTGTTACTGTCCAACAATTGCAGTTTGAATAGTTGTTGTCCAACTGTTGCTGTTTAAACTGTTACTATCCAATGGTTGCTATCTAAACATTTATCAAATTTTTAACTATATCTAGAGTTCTAAAACTCCATTTTAAGTGAGATTGATCTCGTTGGAAAGCTAAGATACAAGGCTACAAGTTCTCTAAAGAAGGAGAACCTAGTTCTACCTTAAAGATAGTCAAAATTGCTCATCAACCCATCAGTTCTACTACCCTACAGAATTAGTCATGACTCAATCTCGGTTGATAAGTCATAACGGGAGTTCTACATCTCTAAATTGAGCAAGACCAATTTTCTTTGTTGTTAATTCAAATCTTCAATTTCTATGAAGGAACCCGATCTTAATTCCCTTATCATCCAATGTGAAATCTCACTGAAAGTCAAGAGATAAGTCTGTCAAGATTCGTCTCTCCTTTTCCTCTCTCCTTTTCCTTTATACAATACTTTCATAAACTATATACCACGCATGAATAAACTTAATTTTAACAATAAGTACTTTTCTTCTAATTCATATCTAAGAACGCTAACCTATAATTCAATATCAAGACATCAATTCATTATTGAATTTGAAATTAATTTTTATAATCATGTTTTGAATACCTTACCCGGTATGAATTAATATTTTGATCTTCAACCAGTTGAAGACTTTCAACTCCCTCCTTTCTTTTCCTCTTGTTTAATTTCTTGTTAATCCCTTGCTCATAAGTGTTTATTCTATTTATAAACCCTTAATATTGGATGAGTTTTTGAAGTTTTAGTGTTTTTTTTTTCAAGAATGGGTATAAAACTCCTTATTTTCTCTCGTTATCGTTCTTGCAAATTTTTGGTGAGGAGAGAGTATTTATACTCTATAATTTACCTTATTTGTATTTAGGCCCCATCTCCTTTAAGTGTATTATTTTTTTCAATTAAATCCAACCCTTGACATTATCTACTTATTATAATATCTCGAATTATTTCACTTAGAAATTATATTCAAAAATTTCTGAATTCCTGTCTTTTATTTAACCATACGCATGAATTTCCTCACTTTATTTCTCATATAGTTAGTTTTCAATTTAAGCAACCTTTATTTATTTATTTATTTATTTTGCCTAAGGTTTACATTCTCCCCTCCTAATAGAAATTTCATCCTTAAAATTTGAGTAATGTACCTGAGTTTATAAACAACTCGGGGGATTTTCATCTCATTTTTTATTCTCTCTCCTATGTCTCTTCCTCAATTTCTAAGCTTCACCATAAGACTCTGATGATGAGAAATTTCTTATTACAAAGTTCTTTCTCACCCCAATCCAGAATTTTTATTGGTCTCACCTCAAGTGTTAAGTCTTCTTTTACCTCTATTAGCACTTGAGGTAACACTCTTAAAGGGTTTACATTAGCTTTTTGTAGCAAGGAAATATGAAATACATTGTGAACTTTGGCCAGTTGTGAAGGCAATTTTATTTAATATGCTACAAATCCGATACGTTTTTGGATTTCAAATGGTCTGATATACCTCGGAGCTAACTTCCCCTTCATGTTGAATCTTAGCATGTGCTTCCATAGAGCTACCTTCATGAATATTTTATCTCCAGGACAAAATTCAAGAGGTCTTCTTCTACTAACTACATACTTCTTCTATCTATCATCTGTTACCTTCATTCGATCCATGATAATCTTCACTTTTTCAGTAGTGATTTGTACTAATTCTACCCTATATAGCTTTCTATCCCCAACTTCTTCCCAGCACAAGGGTGTCCTACACTTTCTGCCATAAAGAGCTTCAAATGGGGCCATTCCAATTATTGCCTGATAACTGTTGTTATACATGAATTCTACTAGTGATAGGTGTTCCTCCTTGTCCTCCTAATCTTGACCAAATTCTAAAGTAGTAAATTATCTAAAATTTGAATAACTCTCTTAGATTAGCCATTAGTTTACGGATAAAAGGCAATACTAATATTCAAATTTATTCCCAAGGCATGTTGTATGCTCGGCCAGCATGTGAAATAAATCTTGGGTCTCGGTCTGAAATAATTGATATTGGAACTCTATGAAGCCTCACAACTTCATTCACATACAT